GACCATACGCCCAAGTAAAGGATTTGTTTGGATGGTAGCATTCAAAGTTAAATGTCCAACAACAAAGGTAGAACCAAACAAGTTTGTTTCGATTGCTGATTATTGCTTTTGTAGTTACAGTGATTTATGTTCAGTGGCTATAAGAATGGTCATTTGGAGTAAGATTTTTGTCCATTCTAGAGGGCAGGATGGTTGAAATCATTTGGACTTAACTCAAACTAATGTTCTGAGGATCCACAGAGTGACTGTGACCCTCTTCTCACTACCACTTTAGAAAGGGACTATCCCACACAGAGCACAGGACACCTACTTTTCATCCTCCTGCAGAGACTAGCACAACTTTAACAAAAAGTCATATGAACAAAAGGCCAAGGTTAGGGTTAGCAGTTTTTGCATGGCTGCAATCAAAGAAAGCCTGACTATTCCTTTTGAGCATGGGTTTAGCATTGTTCCAGAACAGCAATATTCTACAATGCCCTTTGAATGTACCCACACAAAGCACTTGCACAAAAATTGAGCAACCTTTGAGAGATGGCTAAGCCCACTAATCCAGCCTTCTATCAAAACTTGCCTCCTCCCACTCCTGCCCCTGATAAGGAGAGCAACTGGCAAGTGTTCTTCCCACCAGCTGGCAGTGTTTGTTGGGAAGGCAAATGAAACCAGGGGAATCACCAATCACTTTTCTTAAGTTAACCCACATTAAAGCTGTAAAGACAACACCATTCCCTGGCTTCATTACTGAGGCAAAACAGGGCAAAGTATGCTGCCTACTTTTCTGTCCCTTCAAGGACCACAGGAAAGCATTTTAACATGGCCATATGGAAGAGCCTTGTAGCTCATTTATATTTAAGAAACCACAGCTTTCCATTATGGACAGGAAGAAATTATTATGGCTTGCAAGACTGAGGAAAGTAGAAGAAGGGGAAAACAATGTATAAGATGGGTAGACGGGATCAAAGAAATGAAAGAATGTCCTTAGAAGAGCTACAATACTGTACAGTACAATACAGTAATGTGGCTATTACTGAAGCCACATTAAGTCACCAGGATCCAAACCCAACTCAATAGCACCTAACTATGCATTACATTCCATTGTAAAGTGCTATGGTTCTTGCTCTTTTTAATTAGGGGTTTTATTGTTTTATTTGTTGTTATACAGTATATTAGTTAGCTAGCCTGAATTATTAGAATTGTTAAGGCCACCCAAGTCCCAAAAGACTCTGGCAGCTTACAATATATCTAATACATACATTTAAAAAACACAATTAAAAAAACATGACTGCTCGAACTAAAACACCAATCCCAATACTCAGAAAAAAAGTTACATTAAAAGACACAAGATAAGTGTAAAAATTTTAAAACAAATCAAGCATGATTTTTAACATGCGTTTCTTTATCTCTCTCCTTCTAATTTCAGCTGTCAGTTTGAATGCAATACCTTTGCTGAAATTCACTGAAATCTGTTTCATTATCATTCCCCCTTAACGAAGAAGTTTTTGCTACAGCTAATTTACCAACATCCTGCCAGCAATGCCACCTAGAAACCAAAGCTGAATCACACAATAATTGAAAATCATTGAGGGCTCTATCAAAGTTATGTTCTGTAAAAGCCTGTATCTCATCCTTTCTGTTTCAGGCTCCCTAGAGCCAAAGAACACTTCCTAAATCAAATAAAAAAATATGAAGGGTCTAATATGCTTTATCAGTGTGCTGATCAATGCCAGCTCAGACATCTAGCAAGTTCTTGAAAATGAACAGGATGGAAGGCTGATTTCAGAGTTTGCCTTGTCTCAAAGCCTGGTGAAGTGAAGTGCCTCGGACAGCAATATGGGATAGGGACTGAAAGAACAGATGAAAAGAGACAATGGTGTCTGGATAGTGAAGAATGTTCTAAGGGCTCATCTGCACATCCATTTTGCCATGCCTTCCTGAAGCTAGGAGGAAACCATGTTGGCATGAACCATGCTGTTCCCACAGTGTGCCCTTAATGGCCATCTGGAATGTATTGCTGCTGTCTGTATAGCTCCTCTGCATAACCCTTTGAGGGCAGTGATCAACAGTGTTCCCTGGCTGAAACTCAAATGTCATGAATCACAGGAAAAGCCTCCACCAATTGAAAGAACAGACTGTGTGCTGAGGTGGTGCTTGTAAGGTCTGGTGTTCCATCCAATCAAATTTCTTCTGTTTTTTCCCCCAAAGGACAATTGATCTAATGTCCACTACTTGGTAGCACAGAGTTCGTTTCTCTTAATGGCACTGTAGTAATTGCCTTGATTGTGCAGCTCAGATGCAGCCACTTCATAGGTTTTCTTGGAGCCGGAGTTCAATAAAAGGGATTTTGATGTGTGTGAGAGAGATATTCAACTGTGGGGTACTTTAGGGCAAATCCACATAATTTATATGGCAGCTGAAAATGCAAATGATATAGTAAAGATATAGCCACCAGCCTTAGAATTGACAATGAAGATATTGAAGTGGTAGAAGGCTTCTCCCTTTTAGGACAACAGTATCAACAGTAAAGGAACCAGTAGTCAAGAAATATGCTGCAGACAGGAACTGGGTAAAGCAGCAATGAAGGCTTTGGAAAAGATATTCATATGCCAGAATGTGTCTATATCTGCAAAGATCAGAATTGTGCAGACAATGGTTTTCCCTGTGACACTCTCTAGAAGTGACTTTGAGGAAGCAGGCAAGAAAGAGTATTTATGCTTTTGGACTTGGTGTTGGAGAAGACTCCTGAGAATACACAAGAAAATAAACAAATGGATCATAAAACAAATCAATCCAGAGTTCTCACTTGAGGAATCCGACTCAAATTATTATATTTTGGACACACTGAGCAAAGATCCAGATACCTTGAGAAGTTCATCAAGCTGGGAAAGGTGGAAGGAAAAATAAGATGACAATCAGCAAAAGGTGAATGAACTCAATTACAGCTGCAATGGATATACCTCCAAAAGCCTGAAGAGCCAGGATGAGGATAGGTCAATCTGGAGAAGATCTATCTATGTGGCCATTAAAAATCAACACCAAAATCAGGCCCTGAGCTCTGGGAGCAAATGAAAGGGAGCAGTCCTACAACAGACCCAGCAGGCCAATTATAAATCAGCAGATAGTGCCCCCCTGACCACAATCTCAATGTGCCATGGATTGTCTAGACAGGGAAAACATTACTTTCATGCTGGAACACCTTAGACAGGTTACAACCTGCATCAGAAGCAGGCTCTACTGTGAGGACACGTCCTTAGCAAACAGCAACACATCTTTCTGCCACAGTAAGCAGGCTGTGTGGATAAGCCGTAAGTGTTGGAGTAAGGTGAGTTTAGTTTTCATATAAGGCAGCAAAATGTTATAGGCCAACCTGTATAGTTTTCAGCAATAAAAAGCAATTGTCCATCATTCCTGTATCCAAAAATGGAATGCAGCAGATTGCAAATCTGAAGTCCCTGGGATAAGCTCATTCAGTAGGTGAATTTAGACAATCTTATCTGCAATCTAGGATAATAACAGATAACCATGAGGACATGTGGTAAAAATAATTATGTCTCCCAGCAGTTAATGATATAGACTCCATATAAACTTACACAATAATGAATTTGTTAATTTTGAAAATTCCACATTATTCATTGCTGTTTGAAGAATAATAGTCACTCTTCTTATATGGCTGTTGAGTCATGAAACACAGCACACAAAGCCTCTGAAACAAGCATATTGGGCCCAATAACAAAAGGTGGATGGTTTGCCAGAGAAGGAGAGAAGCCCAAAACTGATTAAGATCATGACTGATTTCCTGGAACATTCAATAGAGTGAAGTTTTTTCTTCTAATTTTAATTTTTAAAGAATTCAGAAGTCTCAGTAGTTGAAAATACTAAAAATAGCTAATGCCTTTAAAATCATTTTATTAATTTCAATTTTAAATATTTCTATGTTACTCTGAAGACTGGAGTCCTCTCCAAGTTACAAACGATGCCAAATATTGTCATCACAGAATAGCCAGTATTAATCATAAATAGATTTAAAAGTATTCACAGCAATCAGGAGAATTATAAGTTCTATTGTATTATTAATTATAGGTTCAATATCATTATAAGGCATTTATTTGATAAATTCATAAAATTTATCAAAATATTGAAGCTTGCTTAGTCTACCCACATCAGCATGGAAAACCAACAAGCTGAATTAAGATTCTAACTAAGCTTTCTGCTGAAATATGCTATTTTCACTATGCAGGGAGTTGAACTCAATACTGGACCATTCCTATGTCTAATCCAGGCCTTCTGTTACAACATTTATTATTCTATCCAAAAAGGCCCCTTGCTAGATCTAGCACAGTTGGAGAAAACATTACAATTCCTTCTTTTGAACAACAATAACAACAACAAATCAAACACACAGCTCTTTGCAACCTGAGGTTAGCAAGAACTTAATAATAAAAGGAGATGTAATGATTAGATGGTTTGTGTTGATAGAAATAATGTGAACTTGAATTAATCAGTGGTAAGAGATTAACTTTCTTTCAGTTTGTATCTATATCTGTATTGAAGATAGTCAGAAGTCATTTTCTGTTTCATTCTTCTATCTACTTTCACTATTTTAGTTTTTGTCTTTTTTCTTTTAGTCCTATCCTCTTTCTTTGCTGTACTCTCTGTTTTGTATTTTAATTGTACTTTCTATATAATATAACGTTTTTATTAAAAAAAAATAAAAGGGGGGGGGGCTCTGTTATCAAGATCCTGCCTAAAGTATTAGTGTGAACCACAGGTAGCTTTGGAATTAATCTCTTGTTTCTCTCAGAGCCCACTCAGAAATTTGGGTTATATGAACAAAAAAAGTAAACCAATAAACACTGAAGGAAAGCAGGGATGAATAATAGCCATGGAGTTATAAGAAACAAACAAAACTAGGCTTACAGATAAGCCAAGGCAACATAATCTTAGAAAAATAATGGAGCTACAGTACTCTGATAAGTGCATGCGCACCAGGAATGTGGGTTACTTACCACAGGTTCACAAGGAAAGGATGTTCCAGTCCCTGCATGATCTGTAACTCTTTGAAGACATTTCTCACTTCATTCCGTTCCACACATTTTTGTTTGTTCATGTACTTCATTGCATACATTTTCTTAGTATCGTTCTTCTGGACAATGCATACCTAAAGGAACAAAGCAAGGTACTGTGTTCCATAAAATGGAATGTGTAGAATAAATTTAGGCAACAGAAGTGCAGATTCTTCTATAATCTATCCTCAGTAAAAGCTAACATTTCGGTGCTGCAGCTTCATTTCCCTACTTTCTGTTCCTAGGCATAAGAAATATGACTACCTCTGAAGGCCATCTGCCATCTGAAGGCCATCTAGTGGGCTTTCTTCTGCAGCTGGTTGGCCACTGTGAGAAAAGATGGCTGGACTAGATGGGCCAGGGGTCCGATCCAGCAGGGCATTGCTTATGTTCTCATAAGCTAATATTTCCATCAAGTCTCCTAATGAAAACAGCCAATATCTAAACTCATACTTTGCGAGGGAAATATGGTGCATAGGAATAAGGTGAAAATATTCCATTGTTTAAAAGATGTTCTTCTAATTAGTAATCTGATCCCCAGTTGAATTAACCCAGGTGTAGTCAGAGCCTTCACTTAACTTCTCTGTTTCTTAGGCTTCACCATTGTACAACCACTTGTCCTTGACAAGCATACAGTGCTTATTTATCACTTGGGGCAGGATGCCCTGACATTTTCCATGAGTCAGTTTTGACATAAAATGGAGAGCGAATGAAAATACAAGTGCCTTAATCTCAAGATTAACACCACACAAACCCACCAGCTGTGCTTCAGTGAAAATACAGAGCAGGACTGGTCAACTTTTTATGTTAAATGTAGCAACAATCCTTGGCTCCATTGCTGGTAGGATAGAATTAAGTATCCTTTTTCCATGGAGGAGATCAAACTGCTGCACTTCTGATGCCTTTAGCAACAGAAACACAATGATATTCACCCTCTTTCTTTCTTTCCCAGCCTGGGACTATGTAGAAGATATGGTAAGGGATCCATCTGTGGAGCAGGTCACATTACTGACCTAGATGTGTCCTAAAGATAGTATCTGATACATTTACTCAGAACATTATAAGCCAAGAGATTCATGACTCCTCATATCTAGTACAGTGGCTGAAAAGAAACTAAAGAGTGAAGAATGTCTTCATACAAAACCCTCTACAAAAATAACATGATGGGAATTAGAATGCCAGCATGTCCTGATTTGCTCTAGTGGAAATTGTATTTACTACATCTTTATATATAAATTCAGAATCTCAGGTTTTCAATATGAACAATTTAATATCCCATAATATTATTTGAATATTTTAGGCATACAAGGAACAAGCCTCCAATTCTTAGCTCTTTAGGAGATAAGAGTCAGCATGCAACTCCTAACAATACTATATGCTTATTTGGTGAGTGCCTTACTTTTAAGAAATATTTAAGAACTATTACTTTGGCAATTACAAAGCATATAGTTTGCAAAAACATACCTTCCCAAAGCTGCCTTTTCCAATGGCTCTCAGAATTTCAAAATGATCAAATGTAACTATAAAAAAGAATAAAATATAAATAATAAATAAAAGCTCAACAATTTAATATTAAAATCACTAACTTTAAAATTACTATTTCAAAGGTCCACTTACATTAATCATCATGGCTAAAGCTTAGCTATTTGCTCCTATATTATTTGCTCCTTATTATCCTGTTATTTCATAACAGTAGCTGTACTATGAATTAAGTACTCACTTAATCTTCTCTCATTAATAATTAAATTATGGCCATATTAATTATAAAAACTTTTCTTATGTTTAACTTCTTTTGTACCCTATCTCAAAATAGGATGAGATACTCTTTAAATTATAAACACAGATATTATTTATCTTCTCTGAAACCAGTTTTGATCAGCTGAAATGATGCAAACTATGAAATGATGCAAACTTTGAAGGCTAGAAATAATAATCTGTTGCAGTAAAACAACAAAGAGCCTTGAGGCAACCTACTGACTAACATATTTATTATGGCAAAAATTTCCAGGGACTACACCCTGTTGTGACAAGGCTGACCTTACTTACTTTGTTGAGCCAGTCATAATTAGCAAGTTTCAAATGCCATACTAGGCCAAAACCATGGTTTACAAGCTATACCATCTGTGTCCCATAACACACTGAGCTAAAACCAAACAAGCCACACTGTGACTCAGCATAACATGTGGTTATAATGCTGCCTCGGAGCTACAGGAATTAAATTATACACCAGATTCATTTGTAAAATCAATCCCTCCCCCCAGTTCACAGAGCTAATCGTATCATTCATAATATCAGGGAGTCATAGCCTGTTACTTTATGTTCCACTGAGGTACATGCTGTCACTTTCCAGGGATATCCAACTTCCTTTTGATAGCTAGTCACTCCACAACAGAATCAGTTATGATTCATTGAAAAAAAAAACATGGTTAAGCAAATAATGACCAAGTACAATGTGTTAAATTAGGACTACCACTCCTGGGCTGCAGCAATCTCTAGGACCGCTATATGGCAGCAAATGTTTAAAGTTTCTTTTTGCTGCTCTCTAGTAGTTAATCTGCATTTTTGCAGCCAAGATTTGGTAGACCTAGTGGAAAAAAAAATCATTGTATCTACTACTGGTTTTTTTGAACTGAAGCTCTGAACAAAACACAGCACCTGGGATTTCATCAGTGCTCCATCTGCCAGGATTAAGCAATTCAGAAGAAACTTTTACTTGCAAGCATAGCTCAGGAGCCAGTTTAGTGTAGAGTTAAGGCATCAAACTAGAAACTGGGAAACTCTGAGTTCTAGTCCCACCTTAGGCCCAAAGCCAGCTGGGTGACTTTGGACCCATCATTCTCTCTCTCAGCCCTAGGAAGGAGGCAATGTCAAACCACTTCTGAAAATCTTGCCAAGAAAACTGCAGGGACTTGTCCAGGCAGTCTCCAGGAGTCATCACTGACTCAAAGACACCAAAACAAAAAACACACAAATAAAAACAAAAAACAAACAAACATAAACAGCTCAGGAGGCATATTTGGGTTGTTTTTTTTTTAGAAATGTGCTGAGCCTTTAAACCTGAATCCACAAGCAATCTCTGTGTGTTACGTGAGGACCTGCTGCTTTATGGTAGTTAGAGCTGGACCTCAGCTTCGTGAACCCACAGCCTTTCTTTCTAAGATATGCAGGCATGGTTAATTTTCATTCTCTTCAAGATTCCTCCTGAGGAGACATGGTATTTCTGTATCCCAAATGTTTTTCATGCCCTGGAAGATTTAGTCCTATGGCATCAGGTACAAGTTCTTAAATCACTAACTTTGAATTCTGCTCATATTAATTCAAGGCCTTTTGATTGGAGGGAAATCAGGCAATAATAATATAGCCTTTTAGTAAAAAATAAAAAATAAAAAAAATGAGAGCAGCCCACTCCTCATACTAGGCATATGCTAAATTTCATTAGGAAGCTGATTAAAAGGACTAAATCAACATGTTGGCCTTAATTAACATGACCTCAGAACTGTCAGGTATTGCCCAGATGACAGCCTGAAATTGTAGCACTTACATGTCACATCCATCCCACCAATTAAGAAGCTGAGCAAACCATGCATCTAACCCGCTTTTTGCCCAGGACAGCAACAGGAGAAACTGTGAAGAGGTCTGTAAACAGCTCCCCAGAAGACAGTGGGCCAAGGATTAAAGTAACACTGAACTGTGGCATGACAATGCCAGTTGTACGATGCAGTTTAAACCCTTTATCACATCCTAAACAAAACATCTGCATGGGAACTGTAGAAAGTCAATAATTTGTACAGAGCAGTTTTCCCAGATTTGTGTCCTCCATGCTGGCTGACAATTCTGAGAATTGCAGTCATACCACATTGGTTGGATAAAATTGGGAAATAGGTTTTGAGAAGGAAGTTCCAGTCATAAGAGAATGTTAATGTGAAGACAGCCACTCTATAATCACTACAGATCTACATTACAACACAAAAAGCTAGTTAACATGGGGGGGGGGGAATTCTTTCTCTGTGGTTTTCAGTAACCTGGAAAGTGGCTCAATGCCTTAATCAGAGCCAACAGCCAGGACTCTGGCAGGGAGAAGGAGGCAGACCCATCAGCTTCAAGAAATTAGAAGCTGTGGAACAAAGGAACCCAGATTCCTACTCTGGTTCTGAAAAATGGCATGTCAGAATGGATATCCCTTGAAATACTGGCCCATAGACTATACCTTGCTTTCCCTGTTGCTTCCTCCCTCCACCACCACATCCCTGGAACACACATAAGGTAGGAAACTGATTGAGAAATGGCAAATGCTAGATTACTTTAATTCAGACAACTTGGTTGCTTGGAATTATCCAAGGTCCTATAATTCATGCCAACCTTAGTGCCCCAGTCTCCATTTGGATTAGGATAGACAACTATTTACTAAGGCCCCCAATTTGCTAGCCAAATTGTTTCAGTTAGCAAAAGATTCTGAATCAGCCACTGCCAGTTATAGCTCCCATTTCACTATGGGAGCAGTGGGATTTAATTATTTTCCATGTTCACCCATCTCTCTGTTGACATAGTCATCATGAGTGTCAGTTTCTGCATTGCTCAGGAAGATTGCATCAAGATAGGCAATGTTTGCAATACAAACAAGTAATCCCGCCTCCATGTGCTATCAAAATCAGAAAAGTATTTTACTTCCAAAGAGCAGAACTAAGCCTCCATATTTGCTAATAAAATAAATAAATAAATAAATAAATAAATAAATAAATGCAGCCTTACAATTATCTCCTGTCACACAAAATAATAATCCTATGTACAGATATTCAAAGTGCCTTCTTCCAAGTTTTTTTTTTAAACTTTCCAGCCTAATCAATAACTCTGAGATTTTTTAATAATCTCCCATCCAAGTACTAACCAAATCTGAGCCTGTGTAGCTTTTTCAAGTTAACAGCCAATATCGTAGCTAAGAAATTAGAGGATTGAATAATTTGCTCTCAGTAAAATAATATCTAGGCTGCATCATTGCAGGTAATTTTAATTTGAAATTTTAAAAAATGAAAAGAATGCTTTTAAAAAATTATCTACATATTAAGGAGGAAGGTTCCAA